ATCCCGAGGCTAGACATTTTAAGGGTTGCACGGATGGAGGTCGGTACTTTGTCGAGATGTGGCCCTCGCCCTGGCAGTCACTCGGAAGCAATTCGGTACGTTTTTGGAAAGTGGCCTCCGCTTCAGCGTTGAGCGCATTCGTGTCAAAAGCTTCGAACAGTTATGTATACGGTGGAGGGCGGCTCATTTTCAACATTAGGCTCTCACGCGGTATTTATACCACCAGTCAAACTGTGCAACACATGCATCGATGGACGTCGATTCCTTTTTCGAGCGGGGCTCTTGCCTGAGACTTCGTTATCCATCATACTTGCTTACCACAAGTTCATCTAGGTGCAACAGTCTCACGGATGTGGGGTGGTTCCTTTGTGCCCCAATTTGTCGGATTGTCCGTAAGGGCTTTGCCCCCATGCCACCGGCCCCCCTCTCTTAGAATGGGATTTGCCAGAGTTGTCCTGGGATGCCTGGATGCTGACGTGAAGCAGTGTCGGGACTTAACAAAACTGCGGAATATCTCACAACTGCGAATATTGTTAAATCTTCGAGGGTTTGTGGCTTCGGGGACGCGACCATGGCGTAATTTACGAAGGTTGATTGCTTCGGGGACGCGAGTATCTTTGTAATTTACGAAGCTTTTTAGCCTCGAGGACGCAATTCTTGCGTACTTTACACCAGGTTGGATGGCTTTGGGGACGCGAGTATTATATAACATTTACATGGATTTGGCTGCGAATTTTGCGAATTCGGAGACGTGAATATTCAGTGATTTACTTGGGTTCATGGTCTCGGGGGCGCGAATACGGAGTAATCTACAAGGATGTATTGTTTCGGGGACGCGAATTTTGTATAAGTTACCAGGGTGTACGGCTTCGGGGACTCGAATATGGTGTAGTTTACAAGGGTTTATGGTTTCGGGGACGCGAATACGGTGTAAATTAGGAGGGTCTATCGCCTCGGGGACGCGAATCTGGTGTAATGTACAGGGGATTATGGATTTGGGGACGCGAATGTCAAGTATTTATATATGTCCCACGCCCCCCCAGGAATTCAGACCACGCGATCTGGCCGTTGCAGAAAACCTGGTTTGGGGCTCCCCCCCTCGCGCGCGCAGCAACAATTAGCAGTAAGCAAACAGAAAGCAGGACTGTAACAGTGGAAACTGGAAACTGCAACTGGAGCAGGGAGCTGCAATCCTCACCCTCGCAGCCTGGTTGCCCCGCAAGGGGGCCCGCGGATTTATTGAGGGCAGGCCCTTTCAAAACGGACCCCCCGCCCGATTCGCGGGGTTCATAGTGCTTTCATCTTTCAAGTTGGGGCGTTTCGTGCAGTGAGCAAACGTAGGGCTGCTGCAGGGATCACTGAGAAGGGGATTGGGCACGGGACGGTGTGTTGAAACATCGCTATCCTCACAGTTTATACGTGCACGCAGAAGGATAGGCTGTATGATCCCACTTTTGATGCAACATGCCCCCTTGAAGCCAGGTATGCGTGTTGGCTCTGGGATGGTAGGACTTCCCCTAGTATGTTGATGAGGGCTTGGAGCACAATCCGGGATAAGCTCAGAGCCCAGGGGACCTGGAGGCAATGCTTTGGGCCGATTTCTGCCGTTCTTCTCTCCCTTCGCAGGGCCGGGTGGGACATGGCCGCTCCCCACCTTCTCACCTCCGACCTCGGAGAACATAACTCGCTGTATGTGTATTCGCCGTGCGGGGTCCGCAATTTGTTGCGCGATGGTGTGGAGCGTTGGCTCTGGCGCAGGGTCCCTTTCCACTGGCCAGAAGCGACGGGCTCAGAGTACTGTTGGGCTCGAGCGATGCGCCTCGCGATTCTGGCCCTCCCCGCGGGTGGCCGGCAGGGGTCGCTCCGTGCGCTCTGGTCTGGAGGGTTGTGGCCACCAGCTCGCAAGCATGCGGCTGGGCTGGCCCCATCTGCTGCTTGCACTTTCTGCCAGGCCCCTCACGGCACATTGGGCCACCAACTCTATGATTGCTCGTGTGCCTTCGTGTCTGGGGAGGAGGAGGCGGACAGCATGAGTTTTCCCGAAGATGTTTGGGCGCGTAGGCAGGCCTTGCGGGAGAAAGGGTACGATGTCAACATCGGTCCTCCTGATTGGGATCGAGTTCCTCTCCTCTACGGGCTTCCTTCGCTCCCCACCCAATTGCCCCCTCCCTTAGCTCGGCCGCTGGTGCTCACCTGGGGTCTCGCAGACGGTCCCTGGGGTAGATATAGGTTCACTGACGGGTCGGGGCTGCACAGTGCGGTGCCCGAAGCCACTCGATGTGGCTGGAGCGTTGTCGAGATCTCCGAGGACGGCTGACCCTTGAGAGCCAGGTACGGCGGGCTCCCAGGGCGCTTCCAGTCGGTCCCTCGGTCCGAAAGGTTGGCTGGGCTCGATGCAGTTTCCTTGGGGCTTGCTGGAGACCAGCCTCCCGTCATAATTAGTGATCACCTTTCCTTTGTTCACGAGGGTCAAGGTTGAGATCCCAACCTTGAGCATGGCCTTGCCCCGCACGCGTCGATTTGGCGCAGCATATTTCGTGTTTGTGCTCGCCATGCTATGCGCCCCGAGTTCCACTGGACTCCTGCGCACCTTTGTTTGGAGAGGTTAATTGAGCAAGGAGCGTGTGCTGGCGAAATTTGCAGGTTCATGGGTAATGCTTGGGCGGACTTCTTCGCCAAGCTTGGAGCCCTTGAAGTTGCAGTTGCCGACGTTGCGGCCGCGTCCCTCCAGGAGGCCGTGATGGAGTGCAAGCTGTCATGCCAGTTTCTGGCCCGAGCGGTTCAGATGTTTTGTGCTCGGCCAGATGTTTCTGGTGCTGCCCCAGCCCCTCAAAGGAAAGGCCGAGGCTGGTATTGTTGCTCGCGATACCGTGCCCCTGGCCCCTGGTTTCTCGGCGTTGCAATGCAGGCAATGTTTGGCGGTTGCTCGGACATCAGCCAGTGGCAGGTCTTTGCTCAAGCCAGGGGCTAGGTGTGATCCCAGGCCGATGCTGCGCCAGCTTGCTGCTCTGGCCGAGCGGCTCGGCTGGCGCCAGCATGCTGAGGGGGGAGGGTGAGGTTGCCTGTGCCGCTGCGGCTGCCTGTTTGGGGTGTGGAGGCGGGTGGGAGTCTACTCGTGTGCGACGGGCACCATATTCACAGGGCAGGGTCCTTCCTGTTCTGTGGGCTTTGCTTTCCCTGCCCCACGAAGCCCCCCAACCCTGCCGGCCGGCGAGCCAGGGACTGGCTCCCTGAAGGCAGGCACCCAGCAACTGGCATCGGGCGCGTCCAGTCTGAGCCGTAGTTTGCTTGGTTCTCTCGGAGGGCTGGTGTGTCATCACCCTCTCCCAATACAGTCGGCCCGGATTAGTAGGTCGACCCTGCCAAATCAAGGGTACCTTTGTGTCCTGTGTCTCGCGACCCATGCCTCCTGCATTCCTATGGCAATGTGGCCCTCGGAAGGGTCTTGTGTCCTTTCGCGTGTCCTGTCCAATCAAGGCCGACTGTATCATATAGTCGTCGTCGCGTTCTCGGATGCTTCGCCGTGCTATGCTGCGTCCTGCGTCCTCTCCTCCTCCTGGTTCCCCCCTCGGGTCGGACGAAAGGGGGGGGACAGGGAACGGAGGGGGTGGGGTCCTGCTGCATGCAGCTGGTTTCGCCCCCTGCCGCGCGGCGCGTTCTTGGATACGCTGGCTGGCGCCTCCAGCGCCAGGCGCTCGCTCGCCCCCCCACTCGCTCCTCGCCCTCGCTCCTTGCCCCCTCCCTTCGTCCTCACCCTCGCTCCTCGCTCCTCGCTCCTCGCCCCTCGCCGCTCGCCCCTCGCTCCTCGCTTCTCGCCCCTCGCCCCGCTCCTCCTCTCGCGGCCTTCGCTCCTCCTCCCTCGGTCCCTGCCCCTCCTCGCTCCCTCCTCTCCTCATTTCGCTCCTCCTCCTCGCTCCTCCTCGATCTTCCTCGCTCGGTCCTCGCTCCTCCTCGCTCGGTCCTCTCGCCTCCTCGCTCCCTCCTCTCCTCATTTCGCTTCTCCTCCTCGCTCCTCCTCGCTCCTCCTCGATCTTCTCGCTCCTCCTCCTCCTCCTCCTCCTCCTCCTCCTCCTCCTCCTTGCTACTCTCCTACTCTTCCCTGACTCTGTCTGGTAGATATTGTGCCCTCTCCGCGTGCGTTTGTTCACACAGGATTTCAAACATCAGTTGATTTGTTTTGTCATCCGATTTTTTCCGGCTCTTCAATGGTGCTCCCGCTGCAGCGTGGACATCATTTTCGGATCGGCGATTTGCTCCAGTTGGTCAGCTTGGCGCCCTCGCTCCAGCGCGGGCCACTTTTCTTGATCCAAGGCTTCATTCATCGTTGTCGCCCCCCTCATTTCCCCTCCTCCGCCTTCCCTCCTGTTCCCCCCGCTCCTTCCATTCCAGTTCCTGCTTCAGCTGTTCGTCCTCTTCCACTTCCTCGCGCTCATCCTCCTGCTCACCCGCCACCTCCTGCTCCGGTGCGCGTAGCCCCCCCTTTCCGATAGCGTACAAGGCGATGTGTTTCTTGTTGGGGTTGTGGGTCGGCTATGATAAGCGTCCGCGGACAGAGAAAACGCCAGCGCAGCGGGAAGGGATGGGAGGGAGGGATGGGATGTCAGATGAGGCGCGAGCGCACCCAGCCTCTCCCTCGGCCCCTCGCCCCATGGCCCCTCGCTCCTCGCTCCTCGCCCCCCGGGGGCCCCCGGAGGAGCCCCGCCCATCTCAGGTCGCCGAGCTGCGCGCCGCCGTCGAGGCTGCCCTCGGCACGCTGGGGGCTGCGGCCACCGCGGGCGGCGAGGGCGCCGAGTGCCTCGAGGAGCTCGCGCCGCAGCTGCTCGACGCGGCGTGGGACGTGGCGCCGTTTTGTTATTGTTGTTGTTGTTGAACATTATTACTTCTAAAGAATAATTATTGTTGGGACCCCTTGTGCACGGCCCCCTCGCCGCGCCTAGGCCGCAGCCATGTTTTCATCATTTTCGTGAGGAAGTCTCTGGCAAAACGGGTTGGTCCGGATCCGGTTGTTTTGTTACGGGCGGTTTTCCCTTGCAAAAAATAAGGCAAAGTGGACATTTCTTGTTCTAACATAACCAAACTTCAAGAATCCCTTGCAAAAAATAAGGTAAAGTGGACATTCGCGCGCGCAAGACGAAATCCTTCCAAAACCTTAGTGTTCGTAACGATTTTAACATAAAAACATCAAAAAACCAATGGTTTTTCAACAAAAAAATGTCAAAATTTCATCCCGCGCGCTCTTGCGGATTCGTAGGAAACCCAACACTTTTTAAACATTTCTGTCAAACGGGCTTTTGCGAGCAACTTTTTCGAACTTCTCCAACAACGGTTGCGCACCTGCCAGGGCCATCATCCCTGTCAAATAATACCATGCGGGACACATTCGTTTTTTCTTCGCGCGCGCACGCCGAAATCTTCAAAAACCATTGGGTTTCTTAGGAATTTTAGCACCGCGCAACATAAAATCATACGTCGTATACTAAGCTAGCGTCCAGAAAATGTTACCACAACAAGTCACTGTACCCATGCGCCAGTGTAGTAGCCACGGTCGTCCGCAGGCCACGAAGTGAAGTGCCCGAACGTCATAGGGCGGGAAGCTGGGTGTGGGTGGTGGCGAAGAGTCGTTTGGAAATGTGGTAGAGCTTGAACCGGCCCCCCCACAAAGTGGGGGTATTGGCGGGCGTCGTATGAAAACCCTGGCACTGGTGAGAACGGAGTGTCCCCACGTGCTAGTAATGGTTGTTGTTGTTGTTGTTGTTGTTGTTGTTGTTGTTATTGTTGTTGTTGTTGTTGCTGCTGTTGTTGTTGTTGTTGCTGTTGCTGTTGCTGTTGCTGTTGCTGTTGTTGTTGTTGTTGTTGTCGTTGTTGTTGTTGTCTTTGTTGTCTTTGTTATATTTGTTGTCTTTGTTGTTGTCTTTGTTGTTGTCGTCGTTGTCGTTGTTGTTGTTGTTGTGGTTGTTGTTGTTGATGTTGAATGTTAATTACTAAACAATGATCACTGTTGGACCCCGTATAGGCGCCCTGGCGCTCTCGCCGAGGCACCGGTTACATGTTCATTGAAAATGAGGCTCACGCTCGAGCGGTTTGGGGGACCGCCCAAACTGGCCCCCCATCAACAACAACGCTCCCGCTCGAGACTTCCTCCTTTTTTACTCAGGGATGGTGTTCGTGCTCGCCGCCGAAAGCCGCCGTCCCAACAAAACCAGCGCTCCCGCTCGAGACTTCCTCCCGTTTTACCTTGGACTGGCGCGCTGGTCTTTCTCTTATCGGCGCCGCCCCCAGCAAAAACAACGCTCCCGCTCGAGGCGTCCTCCCTTTTTTACTCAAGGCGGTGCTCCTCCTCGCCGCCGAAAACCGCCGCCCCGACAAAACCAACGCTCCCGCCCGAGACTTCCGTTTTACGCTGGACTGGCGCCCGACTCTCTTTTGAATTGGCGCCGCTCCCAGCAAGAATATCACTCCCGCTCGAGGCTTCCTCCCTTTTTCCTCGGGACGGTGCTGTTCCTTGCCGCCGACAGCCCCCGTCCCGACAAAACCACGGCTCCCGCTTGATGCTTCCTCCTTTCTTACTCAAGGCCCAAGGCGGTGTTCCTCCCCGCCGCCGAAAACCGCCGCCCCGACACAACCAGCGCTCAAGCCCGAGACTTCCTTCCCTTTTACGCTGGATTGGCGCCCTATTCTCTTTTCAATTTGCGCCGCTCCCAGCAAGAACAACGCTCCCGCTCGAGATTTCCTTTGTTTTTCCACGGGGCGGTGCTGTTCCTCGCCGCCGGCAGCCCCCGTCACGACGAAACACCGGCTCTCGCTCGATGCTTCCTCCTTTCTTACTCAAGGCGGTGTTCCTCCTCGCCGCCGAAAGCCGCCGTCCCAACAAAACCAGCGTTCCCGCTCGAGACTCCGTTTTGTTTTTCGCTGGATTAGCGCCCTGCTCTCTTCAGCATTGGCGCCGCTCCCAGCAGCAGCAGCAGCAGCCCTGCTCGAGATTTCCTCTCTTTCTAATCAGGGCCAGGTCCTTGCCTCACTGCCGACAGCCCCCAGCCCCACCAAGGCAATCCTGTCGTTCGATACTTCCTTGTGCTTTACCCTTCGCTGGGGTTCCACTGGCGGTCTCGCATCGGCGCAGCAAGGGGCGGGCATGTGTTTCCGAGGCGGGATATGTTGAAATTCCTCGGAGGAGGCGTTTGCAAGACCTCATTGGGCGGGAGATCTGTGAATGGGAATAACGGGCCCCGCTCTAGAACAAGAGTCCCTCATGATGGGGATGGTTATCATGATGGTCGCAGGCTTCGTGTGGAAACATCGTGCATGAGTGTAGAACCATTCGGGTTGTTGTGTTTGTTGTTGTTGTTGTTGCTGCTGTTGCTGTTGCTGTTACTGTATTGTTGTTGTTGCTGTTGATGTAGTTGCTGTTGTTGTTGTGGATGTTGTTGTGGTTGTGGTTGTGGTTGTGGTTGTGGTTGTGGTTGTGGTTGTGGTGGTTGTTGCTGTTGCTGTTGCTGTTGCTGTTGCTGTTGCTGCTGTTGTTGTTGTTGTTGCTGCTGCTGTTGCTGTTGCTGTTGCTGTTGGTGTTGTTGCTGCTGCTGCTGCTGTTGTTGTTTTTGTTGTTGAACATTATTTACTCTAAAGAATAATTATTGTTGGGCCCCCTGGTGCGCGCCCCCCCTGCGCCGCCTAGGCCGCAGCTACATTTTCATCATTTTCGTGAGGAAGCCTCGGAAAAGAGGGTGTGTACAGGATCCGGTTGTTTTGTTGTAATCCGCTTTCCCTTGCAAAAAACAATAGAAAATGACATTTCTTGTTCTAATATAATCAAATTTCAAGAATCCCTTGCAAAAAATAAGGTAAAGTGGACATTCGCGCGCGCAAGACGAAATCCTTCCAAAACCTTAGTGTTCGCAGCGATTTTAACATAAAAACATCAAAAAACCAATGGTTTTTCAACAAAAAATTGTCAAAATCTCATCCCGCGCGCTCTTGCGGATTCGTAGGAAACCCAACACTTTTTAAACATTTCTGTCAAACGGGCTTTTGCGAGCAACTTTTTCGAACTTCTGCGACAACGGTTGCGCACCTGCCAGGGCCATCATCCCTGTCAAATAATACCATGCGGGACACATTCGTTTTTTCTTCGCGCGCGCACGCCGAAATCTCCAAAAACCATTGGGCTTCTTAAGAATTTTAGCACCGCGCATCATAAAATCACACGAATCGCACCGTAGGTCCTCGAAAAACACCTGCACGACTTTTCAAAATTTCTACCCGGGCACTGGTGAGAACCGTTCGAACTTCTGCAACAAAGGTTGCGCGCCTGCCAGGGCCATCATCCCTGTCAAATAATACCATGTGGGACACATTCGTTTTTTCTTCGCGCGCGCACGCCGTCGTCGTCGGCCGCGGGGCCCTGAATAGTAGCCGCGGTCGTCCGCATGCCACGAAGTGAAGTGTCCGAACGTCATAGGGCGGGAAGCTGGGTGTGGGTGGTGGCGAAGAGTCGTTTGGAAATTTGGTAGAGCTTGAACCGGCCCCCCCACAAAGTGGGGGTATTGCCCGCCTCCTATGAAAACCCTGGCACTGGTGAGAACGGAGTGTCCCCAGTCTTAAATGATTGTTGTGTTGTTGTTGTTGTTGTTGTTGTTGTTGTTGTTGTTGTTGTTGGTTGGTGTTGGTGTTGAACATTATTTATTCTAAAGAATAATTATTGTTGGGCCCCCTGGTGCGCGCCCCCCCTGCGCCGCCTAGGCCGCAGCTACATTTTCATCATTTTCGTGAGGAAGCCTCAGGTAAACGATGTGATCAAGATCCGGTTGTTTTGTTCCCCCCCGCTGTTCCCTTGCAAAAAACACTATAAAATGAAATTTCTTGTTCTAAAATAACCAAACTTCAAGAATCCCTTGCAAAAAATAAGGTAAAGTGGACATTCGCGCGCGCAAGACGAAATCCTTCCAAAACCTTAGTGTTCGTAGCGATTTCAACATAAAAACATCAAAAAACCATTTTTTTTTTTTTTTTTTTTTTTTTTTTTTTTTTTTTTTTTTTTTTTTTTTTAAAAAAAAAATGTCACAATTTCATCCCGCGCGCTCTTGCGGATTTGTAGGAAACCCAACACTTTTTAAACATTTCTGTCAAACGGGCTTTTGCGAGCAACTTTTTCGAACTTCTGCAACAACGGTTGCGCACCTGCCAGGGCCATCATCCCTGTCAAATAATACCATGCGGGACACATTCGTTTTTTCTTCGCGCGCGCACGCCGAAATCTCCAAAAACCATTGGGCTTCTTAAGAATTTTAGCACCGCGCATCATAAAATCACACGAATCGCACCGTAGGTCCTCGAAAAACACCTGCACGACTTTTCAAAATTTCTACCCGCGCGCGCTGTCCGAATCCTAAAAAAACCAATGGTCATACACCTGTCATCATGCTCCCCGCTCTTGTCCTTACCTTTGTGGGTTAACAAGGCTTAACAACTTCTGTGGGTGTACGAACGTAGGCTTAACAACTTCTGTGGGTGTGTACTCCACGCCAGTGTAGTAGCCACGGTCGTCCGCAGGCCACGAAGTGAAGTGTCCGAACGTCATAGGGCGGGAAGCTGGGTGTGGGTGGTGGCGAAGAGTCGTGTGGATATTTGGTAGAGCTTGCACTGCCCCCCCACAAAGTGGGGGTATTGGCTGGCGTCGCATGAAAACCCTGGCACTGGTGAGAACACTGAGCGTTCGGGTAAAGTGATTGTTGTTGTTGTTGTTGTTGTTGTTGTTGTTGTTGTTGTTGTTGTTGTTGTTGTTTGTGTTCGCGTGCGTGTGTTCGTGTGTGTGTGTGGGTCCGTACCCCATGGCTCAAGGCCGCT